TGAAAAAGGATAGACAATCCACTACTAGGTAGGGATGAATTGAAATGATTTGTCTTGTCAATCAGCTTGGGATGCTCATCTCAAGGATGGGCTGTGATAGGATGAGTGGATATGAAGCAGTGTCGACTTACTCTGGCTGTAACTGGGCTTTTGATGTTCGAAGAGAACACAATGGCCAATGACTGATTGCTTTGCAGTTCTCTCAGATCCTATTCCTCGAGGGATGGCAGAGGAATCGGTAGCTTCGAGAAATCTGATGATGTCTCTCGGTCGGCTCGGAAACACGCTTCTTTGAACTTGGGTCCCGTCGGTGGAAGGCATATGGGATATCTAGAAGAAATACAAGACACCAACTCAAAGTATAACATCGAAGTGATTGAAAGGGATGAGGACACAAAAGATGTTCTAGAAGAGAAAAAGTGTGATAACTGATGACTGGCAGTCGACACCATAAATGATGAAGAAAGAAACCACCAGCTATTTGTAGGAGACTTGAGAAAAGAAGAATAAATGGTAGTGTGTTGATTAGTTCTGCCTACTTCCGGACTTGTTTCTACCGGGCGAGAATAATGCGGAGACACAGATGTAGGCACCGGCGCCGGGAATGGCTATATATTGCGGCAAACTATAGCTGAGATGTTTGACGATGGTAGCTAGCGTCATACGCTTCACTTCACGATTCTCTCCCATACCTTGAGTTGCCTAGGCTTCGGGACTACACTGCTCATGTTAGAGAAGGAGTATGTTTCGGCGATGCTGTCTCAAGGTCTGAAAATCGAAATAGATGAGCATGGACTCGGGCGGAAAGAAGCTCGACATGAAGTGGCTTCACGGATAGAGAAACTTACTTCCTAGCACTGATTATTTCCTTATTCTGGCCGTTGGACAAAGACGTTAAGGGTGAAGTAGTCCTTTTAGTTGAGGTTGTCATACCATCTAGTTATGGTTGAATTAGGCATCTATTAATACTCTTGATTCACCCTTGACTCTTCATTTCTGATAGTTTATTCTGGGGCGGGACCTGTTGTCTGAGCGTAGTACAGGCTCTTGTCAAATATCTCTTCTTTACAGCCGGGTTGTATTGTTATAAAGGGCCAAAGAGCTCTAGTGATTCTTTCCTGTTGTGTCATTTCCAGCCTCATCTTAAGCCGCCGCCATAATCCCCTATAATAAGTTTGCCGAGTGTCCTTGGGAACTCCAGGATGTGTGCCCTGTCTATAATCATGATCTTGTAATCATCTGTCTGAGGACGAACACCACAAGGCCGAACAATCTTTCATCGGCCTAGGCTTAACAGGCCTTCAATGTACTTCTTCGTATCCACGCCAATACCTTGAGCAAGGCGACTGGCACCATCAGTCCAACCACCGCCTCCTTCCGCGTACGAGCTGCTCAGCCCTCTAAGCCTGGTATGCTCGCCCGCTCGGCGTATGAGGAAGATCTCCTTGCTGACTTTACCCTTATGTTTCTCGGATTTGGTCTGACTCTGCGAGCCGATACTATCTTCAGACTCAGTATGTCGTAAGCTCGGATTCCGGCTTGTGTCTGAAGATTCCGGCAGTTGTGGGGGAGACTGAGACGGCTCTTTCTCTATTATCCGAGTCCAGACGATCCACCAACCACGACTAGTCTTGCAGGTTCGTTCTAATTCGGACGGATCCGTTGAAGTGGTGATATAAGTATTGAGGATTTGGTTATGAGTGTTTATTGCTTCGACTCGAGACCATACGGGTTGAGCATTTTCCTGTACGATCTGCCCAGGTGTGGGTATGCTAGGGATAGTGGAATGGATTGTCATAGTTTCTGGGTCCCAGACCAGGTCGAAAATATGAGAGCCGACCGCACCAACGTCCGGCCGTCCAGGGCGGTAAGCTGTAGACGTGGCCAGTGGTTTTCTCAGCGGGGCAAGTTGATAGTGCAATGATCTGTACAGTCCATCCCAGGCCAGGGAGTCCGTCCTGTTCTGGAATAAAAACGTATAAACGAATGGTTTGTTTACGTAAACCACTACACGCACCTTCTGTGTCTTATTGCGATCTTGACTGTCAAAGGAGGACGTCGGGTCTACGGAGCTTTCGGCCCTTAGCTCAGGATCGTGATTTCCAAAGTCCCGAGTCACCTCAGCTTCAGGACGTTTTTCATTTTCTAGCTCCACCGTAAGAGTTCGGAGTAAAACTCTAGAGTTATATTCAACCTCTTCCGATGGATCATCCGATGGATCCCTACTCTCATCATGCTCAATAGTGCCAGTCTCTTCGACGTCTCCTAATAGCCCGATGAGGTAGTGGCCCGAATCAACACCGGGCACTTTGGAAGGACGGCTAGAATCATCAGATTGAGTCTTATCCTTCTTAGATATCTCTCCAGACGCCGCCCCATCTTGTGTTGTTCCATCGCTCCCACCAGAGCTACCCAATGTCCAGTGCGTGCCATAACCCATCTTAAGGTAGCTCATAAACTTGTTAACACCACCACTGTCCGCAGCCTCTCCGGTGTCCTTTGGCGACGCCGTTCCTGGCTGCGCCGAGTCCGGAGGTTGCTTTTTTGTGCTTCCTTGCTTTTGATTAGTTGACTCGTCCGCCTCTGGGCTTTTCGCAGAATTCCGATCCGCATCCTTACTGCTCGTCGGGACATGTTTCTTAGCTTTCCTGGCATCGCGTACTGAGGATGGACTGTCCCTGACACCGTAGGCATCTTCACCCCATGTGTAGACGTCTTCCATCCAATAGGTCACATCACGTAAGGACTTTTTCGAGAGGGCCCCGACACCTAAAAATATAGCCCCATCCTCCGCTCCAGGTTCTTCACCGGTCCCGAGCCACTTAGAGGCCGGCTCGTCAACCGACTTGGGGTCCTTCTTAGGATCCTCATCTGCTCCAGAGTCTGAAGGACCGAATTTAGATACGATCAGATCGACCAAACCCTCGACTCTATCGACGAATCCCTCCAGTACTTCTCTTTCGCCGCTTCCGCGTTCTTCCTCGCCAACGCCAAACCCAAGCTCGCCGCAAGCAGCAATCTTGACGCCCCCAAAGATGCTGGTGGCGGGGTTACCGTGTAACATGACGTCCCACGTGGATAGAAAGAGATCCCAATATCGACTTAGTATACTAACGAATTTAGACCGCTTCGAACGAACGAAAAGAGCGCTTAAGGATGCCGCATGGTGAAGTAGGAATATGGAATGGGCACGCAAGAGGTCCTGCATCAGCAGTGCAGCTGGTTTGAGTTCCCGAGACGAATACTCGACATTTTCGGACTGGTTATCTCTAGGGTTCGACGAGGGAGCACCGAGTCTTGGTGGTAAAGGTAACTTGGTAAGATCAATGGACTAAATTGGACGACACTATATCAGCTTAGGTTCTAGATAAGTAGATCAATCATTATATGCCTACAGCCAAAATCCACCAGCCGGGCTCTAGCTCACGTAGCACAACGCGGCTTTTTTCTGTCTCTATGGTGTCTACGGGTTGCCCGTCGGAGAAGCCACGGCTGAACTCTACCATCCCCTGAGCGAGGCCAATCTGTCTTAACCGTTCATTCCGCTCATCCTGAGAGATGCTATCGGTAGGTTTACCCCGCGACCGGTGTCGTCGTTTCTTGGTCTTCTGGGTATTTACAGAGGCATAATAGACAATCTGGTCATCAATAGTTTCGTCGGTAGTACCTAGAGAGGGATTGTATATGGCTAAGAAACCGAGCTGAGCTGGGACGACGGTGGCAGGAGGCGGAGAGGCTGGGGTGGTCATTGTAATGTAGAGTTGCGCCTTATTACAACATCAGTAGACGAATGGTGCCTGTCGAGGTATTCTACCGCGAAGACGGCCATAGCAGATTAGAGATACATTAATAGGAATGAGAATAAGCTGAGAAGAGTTTAATTGATTGTCCTTGTAAGTGGTATCTTCATGTATCTCGAAGTATATCGGAATGAACCTTGCCAGCTGTTATCGATAGCGAGCGTGGTATCACATGCGTGGGGCACCTTCGATAATGAGTAATTATTTTATATATAGATAAAACTTTTAATAGGTATATTATGCTTTTAGATGAAAATATTCAAATACACGTTACCCCTAAATATCTACGCTCTATTCTCACATAAAAACAGCGTGAGAACTCTCTGGAAGGCAGAGAAACGGTTAGCGACCGGAAAGTCAACTATAACTTACCGGCCTGACTTGCGGTAAGGGCTCATTGTGGTCTAGCCGGGCGATGGTCACGCCCGCTAGAGAAATGATTCGATCACCGCCCCTAGCCTGGGCTGGCGGCAGGCCAAATCTAGAAGAGGGACCGGTGATGGGCCAGACCCGTGAGAAAACCATTCTGTTTGTTTGTCTATGTACAATATTGGTACGCTGCCACAGCAGCTACTGTCTACCATATATGCGGTTAAATTTCCTATGTGTTGTAGACACATTTCTGCTTAGATCTGAGGCGTTCCGTATCCTGAAACGGCCTCTATAATGCAACTGAGGGGTACATGTGTTGATTGTAACAGTTCTTGGTGGTGAGATTGCTTCAACGTGAATGGCACATTCATTTGTTTATATTATCAACAACCAATTACAACTATTTGCAAAAGTTGCTGCCTCACATAACCAGCCAGCATTTCCATTAGGCCTCAACCGTATGTCGACAATTCCGGAATTATGTATTATGGGATTTTAGATAGTCATCGGCTCAGAAATTCGATTAGGAGCCTAACCAGCCAACTTAATCGTCTAGATATCACTCTAGCTCTCATAGCATTGTAGTGAAATGGGGGTGAACTACTGGTTATGGGGAGAAGAGAACCTAGGTATGTAAGGAAATAGTCACTTGAATCGAGCCTGTGTGAACTTGTGCTTGATTAGAATCAATAGAATCTACCTATCCCTATTCGGCCAGCTCCAAAAAATTATAGATAGACACACCCATGATATAAGAGCTTCTCCCAAAGTAAACAAGTTGACACCAAGTTTATTATAGACAAGTACAACGAAAACAGTAAAAAAGAATTCCGAATCGGGGAGTCGAACCCCGGGCTTGACGGGCCAAGGTCTGTGGGCCTTCCTCTGGCACGTGGGTTACTCTACTCGACGCGATGCTCTGTGGCTTGTTCTTTTCAAGTCCTTCGGTGCTCTAGGTAAGGGTCAGAACCGGTGAGAGCGTCAAATGTTACCACTACACCAATTCGGATTTGAAGCTGGTGAGTCGTTTCTTGGGAGATCGTAACCGCAAATCTCCCTTATGACTCAATGTATGTATGCATGTACAAACGCCACGTAGGCAGCAGCATCACAGTCCCGTGTCCCTTCGATAGAGGACGTTACACGAGGCTGCCCCCGTTGTAGGGCATCTTGCAGGTTTCCGTCTTGGCGTATTCCCCTGAGTGCAGATGAAATATACCTCCCGTAGGTTAGGTATGTATGTAGCAAACCAGATTTGGTAGGTTGCCTAAATGGACATGTAGCACTTGTTATGTTCATAGTATATGAATATAGGACTAGCTGGCAGCACTCTGCTAGGTCAAGCAACATGATACGAGTAAAAGAAGCCATCCATCTTCCGGGCTATAGCTGGTTGTACGAAGACAAAGCGTTTTGTACAACGGTCCCAGAGCCCCTGCCAAGCTACTCACTGCTAGCATCTATCAGCTACTACACACCAAGACTAAGAGGCCTATGCTTCTCGAAGATGACATGTAATATAAATTATCCGAAACATCGTCAAAGGAGGGCAATTCTCTGCCTTCACAGGTAAGGGATATGTTCACGTCAAATATAACTATCCAAGGCTTTGCCAGCTCCTAGTTAAGCTACTAGGAACTTATCATCACCTAGCACCACCCTCTCTCCCTCCCATCCAACCCCCCCAAAAGAAGCAAATAAAGATATTTTGACGGAATCAATTAGCTATTGACATGCTTGCCGTCGATGGCACGGCGTTCTATAATAACTGCGTAGTAGCCTCAATCAGTAAGTAATCAATCATGCCTTTAACTCCCCAGCCCAGCTGTTCCCGGTCTCTTTCCAGGTCTCTCCTACAGAAAAAACTTTCCACCCCTTGCACATCTCTCTCTCTCTCTCTCTCTCTGGATGTATTTACACTGTAGTCAAAGAGAGAGAGTTTTGATACAGGCCGTAATAGTTGTAATAGTAGTAGTGGTACTATACTTAAAATGTGTTCCATAAACATCACACCTCCCGTACGACGCCCCTCCTAATGCTGCTAACGCACCATACGCCCGTGTCATAAGGCACCGGTTTCTTGGTACAAGATTTCGAAGAGTATAGGAGAGGGGTAGTCGGTTTGGCTGTCGCTTTTCTCCCCGCTATTGGTACCACCTTGATTGAGTAGCCAACGGCCGCTTTGTTGCAAGCCCGAAATACTCGAAAGAGTTTTCCTCCTGTATATGCAGATCCAAGAATCAACTCCGGTCCCCTTTGTCATGATTGTATCCCAGTATAAATAAATGATTGGACTAAGTCCATTTAGAAGAAGCCTCCCTCCTGTCGCGTCATGACCGTCGCCTAATGGTCATAACCTGCTCCTCGTTGCCACGGGCTGCTTTCTCATTAGCCTACATCTACTGATAGAATGCATATAGTTTTACTCACCTGGCATTGTTTTGGGCCCTGTAACTAGGAGGGCTGCTGCTTTGCTGAGACCTTTGTGAGGCGGCGGAGTTCCCATTATATGGGCTGGGAGCCCTTTGTTGCGGGCCACTGTTTGCTGGGAATAGCGGTACAGATGGGTCTACTGGAGAATGAGGATGACTGCCATTGTTGTTCCGGTTGTACGCGCCGTTCGGAGCACTCGTAGGAATTGTTAAGTTGGAGGTGTTTGTGCGACGGCGCATATCGGCGGAAGATATCGACTCGTTATCATCGTCAAGGTCTAGGCCGGGTTTATAGCCTGCTTTATCACCACGAGCAGTTGCGGCAAGTGCATCTAGCTCCGTGGTACCTGTGAGCTGAGACTGAGACTTCATGAAGGACGCTCGGTCATCAGCCATGAATTGGTAACGACCATCAGGGTTCTTGCGATAGAAGATCAGTGTAGTCGAAACAATGACCATGAGGAGGAGGACGGTGGCGAAAATAGCATTAAGGAAAAACAGAATGAGACCGATGACACCATTAACTAGCGGGGGCTGGTTGAACACGTCCGAGAAAATCAAAAGGAAAATGGCGTTGATAAAATTAACCACACAGATGGCAATGTTGAATGAGTTGGTGCTCTTGTCCATCCATGGGCGGAGGACACTGGCCGCAATGAGGGCACCGGCTTCGATGAGGAGGAATCCGATAGCCTGAGCGGTGTTGTTGTTTTGCGCGAATGCGATAAACATGGACTTGACCAGAGTGTAGCCAAGAACCGGAATGATGAAGTAGTAGGCGGAAGCACGGAACTGGATGTACAGGAATCCCCACTTGTTCAATGCCTGAGGATCCGAGAAGAGGATATATGCAGGGTTGCGGTGCATGGCGACGGAGCGACGAGCGATTCGAATAACCTTAGAAGCAGCCCAACCTAGAGTAACAGTCATTCCAACGATAAAGAACACGGCTAGGACTACCTCGGCAGGTGAATCGACTTGCGTGAACTCCCACAGACATAGAATAGACATCTGGGGGTAACCAATAAGGGTAAGTCGGAATAAGATACCCTTGAGGACTGTAAGCCACCCATTACGGAACTCGAGGAACTTGTCGCCCTTCATCCACTTTTGCTTGACGGCAAGTTCGCAGAAACCCTTGAACGCTGCGACGGCGCCAATAGTGATGACAACGAACAGGCAGAAGAAGACGAGACCGGTCATGAACAAGTTTGTCGTCTCAATGCCAGCTCTGAACGCAACACGCTGGATACCATACACAATATAACTGCCAGAACCGGTCATTACGTTGCCGCGCTTCATGAGAGATGCAGCACCACGCGGGAGAAGGGCAGCCGATCGTCGATACAAGTTTACGGCGGCGTCCGGCATGACAGACAGGGCACGTTTTTCCACCTGAACCGAGACAGTAGTCAAAGAGTCAAAAATTGTAGAAGGCGTACCGCCGGTAGCTCGCTGATACCAAGTGAAAATGTCCTGCATGAAATCAACATTGATGATACCCATCGACCACTGGAAATCCTGCGTCCATGATTGAACAACAGGAGGCAGATGAATAGCCGTCAAACCGAGCATAGCCTGGGCTTGGAAGAAGCCGAACAACGAAAGGGCTCCAGAGGCGACGTGGGCAGCGGCGTTGGAGTGACCCAAACCGTTCAAAATAGCCGAGGAGCAAAGAACCAGGCCGGCTATGATGGCAAGAACCCACTTCACAGCAATCAAATCGACCGTCTTTCCATTGGAGATATCAGCTTCAACGCAAGCAACGCTCTTCTTGGTGTCGGTCATGTTCAGGAAGACACGGACGGTAGCGTCGAGATCGGGGAAGGTGTATGCGATGCCGGGAATCTGAGAGGCGGCCTCTTCGCCGACAGGCAAGTTGAACTTTAACGGAATCTTGCCCGCAGTCATGGGGCAGAGACCAGCCAGTCCTACCTTGCAAGGGTCGATGGTCGTCTGGATAATCGTGTAGCCATATGCGGATATGGCAATGTCGAAGACCACGCTGCCTTCAACGGAAGATGTCGCAACGATGTTGAGGAAAGCCGTGTTGTTATTCGGCGTGTACACAACCTTGAATAGACTAGCAGTAAACATAGAGTCCTCTTGACAGGTATTCAAGGAATTGGACACGAGCATGGGCTCGGCGGCAAAGACTGGAACGACGGCCGTAAGCCATGATACAAACAGTATCGACCTTAATGTCGAGAGCCACATGGTTTCCTTCTTGGAACGTTGACCGTATTAATTGGGGTGTTTCTTGTTTCTACTCTGATGAGAACCGATGTCACGACGTCGTTGTTTATTCTTTTGTCGAATTCGCAGGCGGGTCTAGTCGACAGTCGACAAAGAGACGGCTCGATTGTCCTAAGTCAAGCGAAGGGCTCCGATACTAATCCGGAAGAGTAGGAAATTCGTGATAGCGAAAGCTGGGAGAATTTCCTTTCCTCGGCCTCCTGTCCGAGCACTTTCTCCCTCTTCTCAATAAACGAGCGCGTTTGGTCCTGAAAAAGAAAAAAAGGGGGTTGAAACTAAGACTTTTTACATTCGAAGCCGGGAAAACGAACCCGTTCACGGAATGGGTTTCCCTGCCTTTTTGGAGCAGCCGGTCGATTATGTAGAGTTGAACAGGAAATAGAAAGAATTAAGAGAGCTTGAGGTAGTGAACGACTCCAATGGTTGATTGGGAAATGGTGGTGGGAACATGAAAGGAGTAGCAGGTTCAGGACAAGCAGATGACATACACTACTCTGTCTGCAGTGTAGAAGACCGGGGGCGGTTTTGGCAGGGGGTGGAATGAGAATGCAGGGAAATTACGCGGCCGGACACTCTTGCAGATCGGTTAGTTTGTACCGTCCTTGTTTCTCTAGCCTATACAAAATATTCCACTAGCTAAAGCCCCAATCTTTTGCTAGTAAGAATGTTAGTGTAACATCTTAGCCAAGGTTACCAAGACCTATTTGCTTCTTTTGTATACTTCCCGCTTTTGTCCCAAAACTCTTGCCCAGAAAGGTTTAACAACATCAAATTGTTGGCCTCAAGACTTAAGAGTTCAGACTCTTGGACTGTTTTAGGCTAGTTGAGTCTGAAGAAAACCTGATCATTTGGAATTGATTCGATATCACAGCGCAACAACCCACTATACGCATCTCATAGGGATGGGTATTGCATCATATGGCATCTAGCAAGTTATCAAAAAGGAACTGGAGAAGTGCAGATCTTGTTGTTCCTCCTCTTGAGTAACCTACAGATTAGCCCAAAACAGTGAGACGAGCTCTGCGACATTGCGCGTTTTGGCGCCCGGCACCAGAATGCCAAACGATCTAAACTTGCACAGCCACCACACCAAGATCCTGGGCAAGCCAATTGATCCTTTTTACGTTAGCCGTTTAATAAAACATGGGCGCATCTCAAAGGGACAGCGCCTAGGCGAAGCATATTAAATTTCGCTCTTCTTCCACCACCTACGGGTAATACGGCGATAGTTCAAAGCACATGTACGATTCTCGTATTCGAAACCCACAGGTAACTACGGCGTTTATCGGTTAACGGCTCATTGGGTCACCGACACGAGCGC